TGGACTGGTAAAGGTAATATTTTTAGGCCTAAATGAAAACTGAACCTATATATATACATTGGGCTTTAGAAATTTGATGTTCTTGGGCTTCATGCTGCTCTGGGCCGTCGCCCCCTGGGCCTATGGCCAAGGCTGGCCCTAGCTTCAATCTGTCCAGAATAAGTCCATATTAGCCTACTATAGAGTAAAAATAGGTAAATCATTTACACTACCTCCATAAACAAATAAGTGTAAAATAAGGGAATAAGGTGACTCAATGTTGGGATATGAATGGAAAATGTCCTATCTAAAAGAAAAGAAAATACTGTTTAAGCACTAAATAATTAGTGTGTATCACACCCCCAAATTAAAATTGTTGTTTGTCCCTAAGCAACAAAAAGACAACTAAAAAAACTCAATTTTTGAAAAATTTGCAAGAAATGGCAATGTGCATACCACATATTGATCATACCAAAGATGCAATATATAGCTTTTATAAATTCTAAGTAAGCATATCCTACCTTATCCATGAGTATGAATCATAAGCTAGCATTATTTGTTTTTTTTTTATGCTTAACGCATCCTATATCTAAGATCAATAGGGCTTGAAAGTTACTGGTTCACTCTTGTTTGACATATTTTTCCTCACTTTGCCTTTTCTCACCTTTTGCATGAATCTTGAATTTTTCAAATTTTTGACACTTTGTGCACTTTTGTTGAATGCATACACCTGACCCTATGGGACATTTTGGTGTTTTAGATATATACATAGCATCTAAGCTTTTGGTACTTTGTGCACTTTTTGTTGTTTTGATCATTTTAGCCATGATGGTACCCTCCCCCAAACTCAAAGTTTACAATATCCTCATTGGAAGTATAGTGAGAGAGTATTATATTTTGGTTACAAGTGGCTAAATAAGGATAAAAGAACAAAGGCCTATTTCATTTCTTAGATGTGTATATGATGTGGATCAAAGTGTGTTCCCAAGCAAAATAGTAATAGTTCTAGCAATAACTACATGATTAAGAGACTAGCTAGACTACATAAATTATTGTGGCTATACATGCATATGATCATCATCAACATATGTGATTCTTGCAACAAAATAAGATAAAAAATGTGTAAAAACAATCCCATACTCAAGAAACTAAAATAAACAAATAATAGAGCTAAAAAGGAAAATGATGAAACCTGTCATACTCCTTAAGAGTAGGTGTGGCCGAAGTGGAGCATCCATCCTTCAACTTATTGCATTCATCCCTAAGTCTTGCATTTTTTTTCAAATAGCCTAGAATCCTCCTCTTTAAGAGCTCTCATATTCTTTTCCATGAAATGACATTTTTCCCAGTTGAGAACCAAATTACTTCACACCTTTCAAGACTCCTTTCTAGATTATCCAAACAATTATCAAAAGATGAGCCATAAACTGAAAAATCATCCATAAAGATTTCTATGGATTTTTCAAGCATAACAGAGAATATGAACATCATGCATCTGTGGAAAGTTTCTGGAGCATTACAAAGTCCAAATGGCATTCTCCTAAAGGAAAAAGTACCATATGGATAAGTGAAGGTGGTCTTTTTTTGGTCCTCTGGTGATATGGCTATTTGATTATATCCTGAGTATCCATCAAAGAAACAATAATATTCCTTTCTGGCTAACCTATCTAACATTTGATTAATAAAAGGTAATGGAAAATGGTCCTTTTAGGTAGCTTTGTTTAGCCTACTGGAGTCCATACATATTCTCCATCTGGATACTATTCTAGTGGAGATGAGTTCATTTTTGTCATTGGTGATGACTGTAAACCCTCCCTTTTTTGGGACATACTGGATTGGACTAAGCCAAGAACTACCAGCTATTGGGAAAATGAATCCCGCATCTAACCATTTCAAAATTTCCTTTTTCACTACCTCTTTCATGACAAGATTTAACCATCTTTTCCTTTTTCACTACCTTTTTCATGACAAGATTTAACCATCTTTGTGGCTCTATAGATTTGAAGTTCTTGTGATCTAGAATGATCTTATGTTGACAAATAGAAGAACTAATCCTTTTGCAGTCAGCAATGGTCCATCCTATAGTTTTTGTGTGCAACTTCAACATATCTACAAGCTTCTTTTCTTGATGCAAATCTAGGGTAGATGATATGATGATAGATAATTTACCCTCTTCTCCTAGAAAAGCATACTTCAAATGAGATGGGAGTTGCTTCAACTCCAGGTCAGGTGGTGATATTATGAACTAAGTAAAGTTCTTTTGCTTACTATTTTCCAACAACTCAAATGCTATAACATCACATGGGACACTATCATCCTCTCTCAAATCTAACTCTTCAACAATCTCTTTATCTATTTCAGCACTATCCTCTTCTTCCAACTTACATGCCTTTCTAATTCCTTCCTCATGACACATTGCTTCTATCTCAGTTATGCCTGAGCACTTCTCTAAGTAATCAGGGTACTTTAAGGAGTTAAAGACATTGAATCTGACTTTTTGGTTCTAAAGCCTCATAGTTAGTTCTCCTTTTTGGACATCAATCAAAGTTATGTTGGTGGCTAAGAGTGGTCTTCGTAAAATGATAGGAATATCTTTATCATCCTCAAAATCTAGAATGATGAAATCTGCTGGAAATATGAACTTGCCAACTTGAACTAAAACATCCTCAATCTTCCCTTTTGGATAAGCAATGGTTCTGTTGGTTAATTGCAGTGTGACAGTGGTGGGTCTAGCCTCTCATATTCCTATGGTGTTGAAAACAGACAATGACATGAGGTTAATACTAACACCTAAATCACACAAAGCATTTCCAATCTCCTTTCCACCTATAGAACATGGAATAGTGAAACTTCCTAGGACTTTAATCTTGGGAGGTATCTTGTTTGTCAGAAGCACATTACATCTTTCAGTATGAGCTACAGTTTCATACTAGGTCAACTTCTTCTTCTTGCTTAAGATGTCTTTGAGGAACTTGGCATAACTGGGCATTTGCTCAATTGCTTCAACAAGAGGTATGTTTATATGCAACTCTTTAAACACTTCCAATAATTTCTTAAATTGCAGTTCTTACTTTTGATTCCTTAACCTTTGTGGAAAAAGAACATAAGGAGGAACTGGTTTTATGACAACTTTATTTGACTGTTTGAGCAAGATGGGTCCTGAATGCCTAGAGTCTAGGTCTTACTTTCTTCAGGTTCAGATGGGGTCACATCTTTGGTCTTAGGATCTGCTACAACCTCATCTTCAATTGAATTTTTCCTAGCAGCCTCTTCTGGGAATAACAGAGGATAGTCTGACTAGGGGGGAACAAAAGCAAGGACCTCTGTTGATTGGTGCTCTATTGATCTTGGTGGATTTTCAATAACAGGGACCACTGGTGTAGTCTCAGGTTTAGACACAACATGTTCACTCTCTTTTGGTATGGTCTCTGCTAATTCCTTTCCACTCCTAAGGGTCACTGCTTTCATATGTTTTTTTCCCAAGACTTTTAAGACTTCTCTGTTACTAGGCAAAGTTCCAAGGAATCTATTGATCTGATTGAGTCCAAATTGACTGACTTGTGTTTCCAAATTTCTAATGGCGACACTCTGCTGATTAATGAGTGTTTGAGTTTGGTTTATGAATCCTTTCATCATAATCTCCAAAGAGGATTATGATTCAGTCTGTGGAGGTGGCTTGTTTTGAAAAGATGGTTGAGCAGCTTGATAATTTTGGTGATGATTTTGAAAGTTAGAGCTGCTTGCATGATGTTGAGGTTGAAAACTAGAAGTTCCTTATTGTTTATGAATGGGTGGATTCAAACTTGGACTGTTCCAAGAAAAATTTGGATAGCTCCCTCCAACTAGCATTGTATATGTTGGAGTAGGGGTTAGATATATTATAATTAGGGGTGTAAACGATACGAGACAACTCGCGAGCTACTCGA